ACCGCTTTCAGCCCATCATCTGTATAATAAACGCTCTTACTCCCGAACCCAGTCTTCGAGTCTGACAATTACATGAGCTGATTGGTTAAATCACAAACAAATATTATTGTTCCTGTTCTATCCATGGGTTCTTTTGATTGTATGGGTCCAGTGTACTAAAACTGTACGTGGTTTACTGAAAGATGGTGTTGAATGTTAGAGGCTTCTAAATCACCTAGAGATTTGCTCTTTTGTAATGTTTATATATGGAAATTCGCCCCTTTGCTCATATACAGCGCCTCTTGAAAAACTTTCTCACTGCTGAACAGAACCTGACAAAGAAATTAGCCTGACTGGGTAGATGTGTTTTCAAATATTCACATAAAGCATTAGCAAACTCGTCACCCCCTGGTTCCATTGCAGCTTTAAACATTAGTTCAGGTTTGTGAAATGTCTTACACAAATGTGTAACCATCTTTTTAACATAGAGCTCCATGTCTTCATCGTCCAGTTTTTCTGAAATATGCTTTAGAAAAGGTAGAATTTTCTGTTTCAGACATTTCATTACCTCGTCTATTCTTTCTCTGTCTAGTTGTCCGACAAATTCATTTGATGATTTTAGCATAAATCTGATAAATAGACTTGAAAGTAAAGAACCTGCCGTTTTCTCAGGGATCAAGTCAAGACCGTTGGTCTTCTCGTTATCAGTTTCTTGATTTGGCATTGGGTTATTTTGCGTGACTTGGATCTGGTCACTGGATTCTCTTGGTAATTCTGCCAAATTTCTTCCTTCGGTCTGCGTATTAAAATCTGCATCTTCTGATATGTCGACAGAGAGTCTGTTTTCTGTCTGACAATCTTGGCCAGGCAACTGGTCGTCTCTACGGTTTTCTATGTCAAAGGATGATTTCTTGATATCCTCTAAAATAAAAGATGGCTTTCTGTCTTTACATTTTTCTCCTATGTCTGGTTTGGGCCAACTATAATCTGTCTTGACAACCATAACGCCGTCGCTACCCTTGTAATCGATGACTTTGTCCCAATCGAGAAGGTTCTCATCTTGTATTTTCCAACGTTGAACAAACGGTTCTTTCATTTCCAGAGCATATTTTCTAACAACCATGAATAACAATAGTGTTGTGTATCGTAGTACGTCAGGACAAAGTGTAAAGTCTTTGACATAATCTGATGGCACTGTAGGAATAAGCCTGTTATTAACAATGGAAGACGCAACATTACTCACATTTTTTGAGATCTCCTTCTCCAGAACACCTTTTAAAGTCGTGGCGCTGCTGGTTTTCTGAAATGGCATCCTCAGTGAGTCTGAGACACATTCACTGATTTTGTCTTGCATTCTAGCAGTTACAGTGTACTCATATTTCCCCAAAGTTTTCCTGTATGTACAGATTCTGGGCAATATAATGCATAAAACCTGGGATGAGGCAACCCGATACATTTCATTAAGCATGTGTGCTAACGAAACGTCTATTCTCAACTTGTCCAGTCCGGTCATCATTATTCTCCAGTCTTTTGTTGAGATGCCATACAAATGCTTCACTATTATTGGCAAAAGGACGTTTTTCCCGATGGAAACAATCGTTTCCACTTTAACTTCCTCCACTGAAGACATTTCTGGTTTTAAAATAGGTCCTCTAAGTCTCTTCAGCTGTTGCTTGTCGAGTGACTGCGGTGGAATGTGTATATGTGCTGTCTCAATACGGCTCCTGTGATGACGTCACAAAGACTTAACGGGCACATGCAAATCACGTGCTTTGGCGGCTGCGTCGGTCACGTCTGCGACGCTGCAGCAGCAACCGCTCTGCTTCACCCGCCGCTTCACTTACCGCGCATGCGCAGAGCCAGACTTCTAATCAATATCCTGGAAATCTTGACAAACCGCAGCAGTAGTAGCCGAAAAGATTTTGCTCTGCAGATATATTTTATTTTTAGGGTAAGTCAAGGTTTAAAACTATAGATTAACGATATTAAATAAATAATAGGATCAGAATTGTGTTGCTGCTTATCAAACACTCGAACTGTATGACTGCGATGTTTAAGTGGCTCATTGTGGTAAAATATTATGAACTGGCAAAACAGTACCTACCCCTTCAATAATGTTATAAACAACACAAATAATAATAATCTTATGCTGAAAGTACTAATCATGAACACATAAATTTAAGGAGCTGAAATTTTAAAAATACTCTAATTTGATTTTTTTCTGAGATGGTTATTTATGTGGTTCTTCTCCAGAACTAACAGAACCCATTAGCTACCACTAACTCATCAGGAGGGTAAAAGAGAGGTTTATCCTCCCAGTACCTTTATAAACAGACTTTGGGTTGCTCCTGCCTGAGTTTAAAGGGGCATTATGGAAGTTTGACAGCCAAAACATGTATAGAAATTATAAATTTCTTCTTCATACATTATCCTGCAATGCCCTGGTCCTGTAGAATGAGCCCTGGCATTTTTACTGTGATTGCCTGTTTTTCTATAAAATCACAGAAAAAGAGACTAGAGCTGAGCTGCTCGGGTTGAGCAGGCTGCTTCATGCGCGTTCACGCTCAGGCATAGCCCGTAGCTTTTGCTATCCTTAGATTTAGCAGCAGAGAGTGAGGTAGTGCCAACTCAGCGACTTTGTCGCTGTTCCTAACGCCTAGTGATTAACCTAGCTACATTTCTGAGGACCCTTATACTTTCTTCTAGATATTTCCTGCAAATTAGCAACAAAATTGCCATTTTCGCTCTGAACCGTTCTTTGAACGTTGTTTTAGCTGTAATCAAGGATATAAATATTACAGATACCATAAATGTCAGTGGTGGTTCAGCTCTTCTAGTAAGACGTCGGGCTCTTGTGCAGGAGGCCTGGGTTTGATTCTGGGTGACAACACAATTTTTTTAGAGTTTCTCTTTTACATTAATCGTACATTTTTTTACAGTAAGATGCCCAAATTTTTATTTGAGACTCACCGAACGGCATTGAATTCACAGATAAAAAAGATGCGGGTTCAACTTTCATTTTGGAACAATTTTTCAAGCAAGGGAATGATCTGAGCATGCAGGAAGACTGACCCATCATCAAACTTTGTCAGCTGTGCTGAAGAGAAAAGGTACAGAACCAAATTATTTAATTAATTAGCTGCGCGTTCTCCTGCCCTCTGTCCTCCGGGCCACACACACACACACACACACACACACACACACACACACACACACACACACACACACACACACACTTTGCTAGTTCGTGACAGATGTTGAGTTTAACACACCAGTCTCAGCTCCAATGAACTACCACAGAGCAGCAGCACCTCTCTGTGGTCACTGAAAGTACTGCACAATGAGGAAAACAGTTACGTTATCTTGTATTCTCCCTCTTCTTGGTTTTCTAACTGCTTTTTCTTCAGTAGAATCACAGACAGCTGGTGTCTAAGTCTAGCAGTCATTGGGCCTAAGTTGGGGGTTGGGGATGCCTTGGACAGCTCTCCATCAAAAGCCAACAGAGACAACCAGTAACACACTCACCCAGAAACAACTTAAAGTTGCCAATGAACCTGACATGCATTATTTTGGTATCTGGAAGAACACTGGAGTACCAGGAGAAAAGCCATACATGCATGCTATGAACTTGTCAACTCCATGCAAAAAAATGCCAGGATTTTAACCTGCAACTTCCTTGCTGTGGGGCAATAATGTTCCTTTATCCACACACATGTGGTGTCAATGAGGGTAACAAGTAACAATGAATAACTAAATAGAATAGAATAGAATATTTTATTTGTCAATTTCTTCGAATGTGCTTGCCATACAAAGGAATTGAAATTACGTTTCACACTGTCCCGTGCGTAGACATTAACATAAAGTGCAGATGCACAACAATAACAAAAACAAAAAACATCCCTAACAATAAGATAACATTAAACAGATAAATATCGCTAATAATATACAAAACTTATAGCAGCAGGTGTGTGCAATTGCAATGCAGAGGTAGTTGTTTACAATCAGAAATGTTTCCCCCGTTCTTGGTTCAACCACTATTTCCTTTTTGTATAATGTGCATGTATGTGTGTGTGTGTGTGTGTGTGTGTGTGTATGTAGGAGGGGGGGGGGGGGTAGGGGGGGGTCCAGTCTGCCATCCTATACTCCTGTCACCCTGGTGATTCTGCTGGCTGGGATCTGTGAGGGAAGAGAGTTCAGCAGTCTCACAGCCTGGTGGATGTAGCTGTTGGTCAGCCTGGTAGTGTGGGAGCGGAGACTTCTGTATCTCTTTCCAGAGGGCAGGAGGCTGAAAAGATAGCTTTTGCTATCCGTAGCTTTAGCAGCAGAGAGAGAGGTAGTGCCAACTCAGCGACTTTGTCGCTGTTCCTAACGCCTAGTGATGAACCTAGCTACATTTCTGAGGACCCTTAGCTACGTTCTTCCAGATATTTCCTGCAAATTAGCAACAAAATTGCCATTTTCGCTCTGAACCGTTCTTCGAACGTTGTTTTAGCTGTAATCAAGGATATAAATATTACAAATACCACAAATGTCAGTGGTGATTTAGCTCTTCTAGATAGACGACGGTCTCTCGTGCAAGAGACCTGGGTTAGAACACAGTTTTTTTAGAGTTTCTTTTTTACATTAATGGTATATTTTTTTACAGTAAGATGCCCACAGCATCACACACACACACACACACACAAGGGACTGTCAGCTCTCAGAGCTCAGCTGCACAGAGCTTCGTCTCAGCTGTTATTTTCGTTAAGGAGTGTGCACGTACAGCATGCACGCCTCGTGCACGAGCCTACTATTGAAGCTGCCGTTACGCTTTTGGCCAGAGGGGGCAATCGTGAGCATAAAAATTCAAAACTCCGTAAAGTCCCTTTAAAGAGCAAGTCACCCCCTACCAGAGTCTAACTTCACTCCCACTTCATGTTTGAAAAATGCAACAAATGCTGTTGCCTGGCAGACCGAGAAGGCGGAGCTGCTAACAAATACACACACACAGGCTCAGGACAGCATTGTGACATCATAATGTACCAGTTTACATCATAGCATACCTTTTAGCCAATAGTGGTGGCAGATTTAAAGTAAAATACAGTGCAGAGTTTTTACCTGACAACGGCACAACACTGCCAGTTTTAGGCAGAATATTTAAATTTTAACTAAGATGCACTGAAGTGCCAAATTATTGACTACACATGTCTGCAGCACGATTAGACACACATTTATTTAGTTTATCAGCAAAAAAAAGTTTATTTGGGGGTGACTTGCTCTTTAACTAACAAAGTGATGAAGAACACTTTTCTTCAAGTAAGAAATATATAACTATTTTTCTTATTTATGAATTAAAACTAGAATAAATCAGACATAGAATAACATACAGGAGGGCTTCATCCCCTCAAGCACAGCAGAAGTGTGAGTCCTAGATACAGATTGCTCAATTTTTGGTCAAGAAAATAAGATACAGATACAGAGGGAAAATGTCTTCTGAAAGCAAAAGGCTTAAGTAAAAAAAATTGAGCTGAAATAATGAGGCAGCGGTCTTTATTTTATCATATGTGACATGAGGCACCAACAGTAAACATTTAACAGCAAAGCATGCATTTCGTTACCCAGAGAATAAGCAAGAAACGGCTTAAACAGTAACAGTTTAGCAGGTTTTTCAAGGCAGATGAGTGGTTTTAAGCCAACACCTAAGAAAATAAAGACAGATTCAAGCTTTTGGCACAAAAATCTACAAATACACAACACCATCAAGTTGTACGAAAACACAGGATCCCCAAACAGGTTTGAATGATAAAATACTTTTTCAATGTAACCACACAGATCCTCCTAACCACACAGATCCTCCTTTTTCAGTCTGACTGGCCCAATTAACCCAGTCAAAGTGATTGGATCGTGTGATGTGGAGTTGTCTAATGTGGAATGCTTGCTGTGTAATGTTTCATTTGCTCTAAAAAGATCAATGTTGTTCATCTCAAACTTTGGCTGAGCTACAGAAAAAAAACAAGTCTTTATGAAGAAGCTGCACCATTTTTTTGGCTTTTTGTCTGAAGAAACCCAGAAGACACCTGTTCTTCTCCTGCCCCCGACTGACACTAAAAGCCAAACTTTTCTTCCTTTACTTAATGACAAAGAAACAAACTCATCTTAGCCTAGTCTGGGTTCATCAGGATGGGACAGAAAAGTAGACCAAATTAAAAGTAGGCATCTCATCAGTGATGTAGACGAGTCTGGGTACAACTCCTGTCAAACACCATTAAAAATCCCACCACACACACATATTGGGAAAGCATCACAGTTTGCTTTGAATTCTGGGTCGATAACAACCCAGAAACAAGGTTCACCATCAAAGGCCAATCTGAAGATCATTCCAGTGGAAGCACATTGTTATAACTTAAATGTGTGTGCAAAGAAAAGCTTCACCATCGTTCACAAACAGGAATCCACACAAACAACCACTGGTTAAGTTTTCATAAACAGTGTGACAAACTGAAAACAGACTCGGTAGAATTCTAACAAACCCGACCTTTAACATCTGGATATCTTCACTCAATGTGTATGCAGCTTTATTAAACAAGGGTTGTTGAGCACAATCACTTAGCTTTGTGTCATTAGTCTCGCCTCTAAAGGTAGATGTTCCGTCTGATCATCACTGTTAAAAATACACCAACCACATAAACAACTTCATGCAATGAAAACTGAATGATGTATATGATCTTCAGGATCATTCTAAAAGTTGGAAGATCTTCTAATTCTTCAACACTCTCTCATCCTAACTATTTTAGATGTTTTGTCATTTGAAAATAAAGACCAAATGTCATCCTCATCATCATCCCCATCATGATCATCACTATCACCATCACCATCATCATCATCATCACCATCGTCACCATCATCGTCATCATCCTCATCATCATCATCCCCATCATGATCATCACTATCACCATCACCATCATTATCACCATCATCGTCATCATCATCATCACCATCGTCACCATCATCGTCATCATCACTATCACCATCCCCATCATCATCATCATCACCATCGTCACCATTATCGTCATCATCCTCATCATCATCATCCCCATCATGATCATCACTATCACCATCACCATCATTATCACCATCATCGTCATCACCATCGTCACCATCATCGTCATCATCATCATCATCACCATCATCCCCATCATGATCATCACTATCACCATCACCATAATCATCATTATCACCATCATCACCATCATCGTCATCATCATCATCACCATCATCCCCATCATGATCATCACTATCACCATCACCATAATCATCATTATCACCATCATCACCATCATCGTCATCATCATCATCACCATCATCCCCATCATGATCATCACTATCACCATCACCATAATCATCATTATCACCATTGTCACCATCATCGTCATCATCATCATCCCCATCATGACCATCACTATCACCATCATCATCATCCCCATCATGATCATCACTATCATCATCATCATCATCATCCCCATCATGATCATCACTATCACCATCACCATAATCATCATTATCACCATTGTCACCATCATCGTCATCATCATCATCCCCATCATGACCATCACTATCACCATCATCATCATCCCCATCATGATCATCACTATCATCATCATCATCATCATCCCCATCATGACCATCACTATCACCATCATCATCATCCCCATCATGATCATCACTATCATCATCATCATCATCATCATCATCATCCCCATCATGACCATCACTATCACCATCATCATCATCATATAAACATCTGATGAACTAAATAATCTTCATACATTTGCAGCAGAAAGTTTTTTATCCACACAGTAAACAAACTCATGAACACTTTTCAGTCTCTCTTCATTTCTGTCTTTGGAGGGTAGGTTTGCTGTAAAGGCCACATGAAAGCCACAAGTGTGTGGACATTTTACAGTATCACAACACTACGGTGTATGTACGCAGCGAGGTCTCTAGCAGACAGGTGGGCGCAGTGTGTGTTCAGCTAATGTTTGGCCTCTCGTGGGTAAAAATCTGCTAAAGTGTTCTGAGGGATCCTCTTCAGCATCTCTTTGGGGAAGATTCTCATCAGCTGCCATCCAATGTCAAGAGTCTCAAACACACTCCGGTTCTCATAGGCACCTGGATAAAGACACACACACAATGGTGTGAAGACTCTTCCTTATACATGAATGTGGCTACGATAAAGGAAATGTGTACTGATTTTAACAATCCTTGTCTGATCACCTCAGTAATGATCAACAACCAGACAGTTGAGGTCATGTCACAACAGAATATTTTGCATGTCTCATTGATGATAGACCGAACTAGTGTATGCACTTTTGTCAGAAACGTCATGCTTTTGGTGTTAGTTCTGTTTATCTGGAAGTGTTTTCATCATCAACTTTATTTCTAAAGCACTTTCCACTGACGAGGAGACGAACCAAAGTGCTGTACACGCATAAAAAAGAATTAAAACATCAATGGCCTTGCAAAGGCCAACAAAGATATACATAAAAACAAGAGAAAAAAGCTAAAGGTAAAACTAAAACAACGGGATAAAAAGAAAGCTCAATTATCTAAAAAAAAAGGCTAAAAGCCAGCTGAAGGAACGCCGCAGTACAAAAGTGAGTCATCATCCAACTTTTAAAAACCGGCAGTGCAAGTGCTTGTCCGACTTCGAGTAAAGGTTCATTTCGCAGTTGAGGGGCCAAGACAGAGAACAAGTTTTAATCTAGTTTTATTGAGTCTGCTCTGATCTTTTCTTTGATCTGTTGGTACGAGTCAGGAACAAGAACTGTCTGCAGTAAAATAGCTGTCTCAGTGATTTCTTCATCACCAGATCTCTAAATAGAGCAAAGGTCATTATGGCTGATCCCAGGCATCCACTGTGGGCAGAGTGGGATCTCCTTCCTTGTGGCCATCTCCAAGTTTTAGTCTTCCACTGCCTCCCTCACCCACGGTGTCCCACAAGGTTCTGTGCAGGGCCTCTACTCTTCGTCCTCTATCTGCCTCCTCTTCAGCACATCCTGAGCTCCTACCATCCTTATGCAAATGGCATCCAACTGTACATCTCCTTTAAGCCCCAGGAAATGTAGAGTTCTCTTGGTCAACTTGCTTCTCACACCAAACCTTCTGTCAGGAATCTTGGTATGACCTTTGACCCAGCTCTCACCCTGGATTCTCATATCAGTTTTCTTGTTCGCTCTTCATCCTTTCATCTCAGAAACATTGCTGAGCTATGTCTCATGCAGTCATGCTCTGAAATTGAGATTGTTATCCACACCTTCATCTCCTCATTCTTAAGCCTGATTTATACTTCTCCATCAGTTCTGAAAGAAAGAGACACAAATGCATTGACAGAGACGTTTTGCTCTTGGACCGTCACCCAGGGAGTGTTACAAAGCAATTCTCTGCCAGAACAACAGAGGGCGCAACACTTTACTGTGGCATAATGCCAACATAACACTCATGTATCCAAGACTTTATAACACGGACATATATGTCCTTTATTCTCCTCCTCCTCTTCATACGGTTGCTCCCTCTAAAACATGCTCTAAACGCACGTTTCTCATCATTTCTGTCCACGAATAAAATGTTTGTTCCGTATTATTGTACTCCTTCAGTCATGGGGGAGCAAACGTTCATATTTTCGGACTTTTTCCATGACGCGTTCTCCAATCCATTCCGGGTCTGCCGCTAAATATCTTGTTACCTTTTGACGGGGCAATGGCGGTGCTGTTTACGAATTTACAGGAAGCAGCATCCTGACCAATCACTAGCTAGCGTTCTCCATCACTTTCGACAGATGTTTAAAAATTTTGGCATGTCTCCATCACTCTCTGTGAGCCTGTTGGAGAGCCGTTGCGCTGACACATAATGGCAATGTGTGTCTCCACATCGATGCAGATGGAGAAGTGTAAATTAGGCTTTATTTAGACTACTGTAACTCTCTTTTCACGTGTCTGAGCAGAACCTCCCTGAACCGTCTACAGGTGGTTCAGAATGCCTGTGCTCGGCTTCTGACCAAGTCCTCCAAACACACCCACATCACCCCGCTTCTCCTCCAGCTTCACTGGCTGCCAGTCAACTTCAGGGTTCATTTCAAGATCCTGGTTCTGGTCTTTAAGGCCTTACATGGACAAGCACCATCATACATTGGTGATCTTCTCAGTCCCTACACCCCCAGCAGGTCCCTGAGGTCCAGTGATCAAAGCCTACTGGTTGTGCAGCACACCAGACTAAAGACCAAAGGTGACAGATCATTTGCTGCTGTGACCCCCAGACTCTGGAACTCTCTCCCCCTGAGTCTGAGATCAGTGGACTCAGTGGTCTCCTTTAAAAAGCAGCTGAAACTCACTGGTTCAGGTTGGATTTTGCTTTCAACACCACCCTCTCCTCATTCAGCTCTTTTTACCAATTCTGCCTTTCATCTTTCTTCATCATGTTTTCCCCTTTCCTCACATTTTTATTCACACTTTAAACAATTTTATCAATTTTTTTATATTTTTAATCATTTGTTTTTAAACAAATTTGTTTTCTATTTTTCCTATTTTTGTTCATGTGAAGCACCTCATGTTTTATCTTGAGAGGAGTTATATAAAAGATTGTTGCTTCCTCTTCTTCTAAGACTGTAATTTAATTATAGGTTTTGGTTTTATTGTGAAATATTAATCCTGAAGTTAGTAGAGCTGCTTAATATGGAAAATATCATAATCACAGTTGTTTAACACACTTAGTCATTGAGTTGGATCTAACTATCCTGAGCTCCATGAAGATAATGGACATCAGCTTACACCAGCAGGGGGCCGATTCGAGCTGCTTAGAGGTGATAAAAATGTATTGTTAGATGATAATTACTGTTATCATGTCAGAATCCATACAGACTACAATAAAAATGAACAGATATTTAAGAATAAGACATGAATGAAATAAATAACTTGATAACATTTATAAATTAGATAAAACACAAGCAGATACCAACTAGTTAAAGTGCATAAGTATGAGTGTTTTTTTCAACTGGAGGCCACATCACAGAGCATATGAGGTCATGATTAGAATGAAAACTAATATTTTGATGTGCTTACTGGGCTGGTGTGTTCCCCCATATGCACTTGCACTGACTGTTTAAACACAAGATGTACTGGAGTTTAGCTTTCTGAACAGGAGAAAGTGCACATTGTTAGGAATAACTTACAAAATAAGAGCATGCTTGCAAACTGAAATCATGTGAAGCCAAACTTGGAATGCCAGTTTTGTTTATACCATAGCCCTAGATGTTATTCAGGACTCATGGAGACAAAGTAAAGACAATAAAAAATAAATAAAACACTACCCTTCTTCCCTGTCTAGCTACAGACAGATGTCCTGTATGTAGTGGCAAGAAGACTGTACCTTGAGAGATGAAGTTCTTCTCAAACTTCGTGAGGAACTCCAGATAGAGCAGATCATCAGCAGTTAGAGCCTCCTCTCCCACCACCGCCTTCATGGCCTGAACATCCTTTCCTATGGCGTAACATGCGTACTACACACACACACACACGCACACACACACACACACACACACACACACACACACACACACACACACACACACACACACACACACACAACTTGTTATAGATCAGTAGTAAAGGTCTATGAATGACAGCTTGTACTTACAAGCTGGTTTGACACATCAGAGTGGTCTCTGCGGGTCATTCCCTCCCCAATGGCCGACTTCATCAGTCGAGAGAGAGACGGTAGCACGTTGATGGGTGGATATATCTGACCAGGAAAAGGCAAAAGCTCCTTCATTAAAAAATTCCCTGTAATTAATACACTTAAAGCTGTTTCATTTTGATTAAATAATAATAACTAGAAAAGTCCAGAAGAAATTTTAAAAAAGGACCTGCCACCTGGCACAAGATGGTGGCCACGTGCTGTAGAGGCAAAGTAGTGATGTTTGGGTGAAGTTGAGTTGACCACCGCAAAAATCAGGATGTTTGGGTGACATTGGGGTGAACAACACAAAAACACGACACACCACACTTCCCATGGCTGGGCCGGTCGTTTTGATGTAATGTGTGTGGGGAATTCCTGAGGAAATTTTAAAAGGGACTGCCCACTTATGTAAAAATGCCTGTTTAGTTGGCCAGCCATCAAATTAATTATGTGCATATTTAATTTATTATTATGCAAATTTTGAGTGGCACACACCCAAAATGAAAAAAAAATTGAAGTTTTTGGTAATAATTTCACCATCGTAAATCAAAACGCTTAGAAAAGTAATAGCAGAACTCCCACGGCCGAGTCACATTAACGTCCATGTAAGAATAATAAAATGAAAGAGAAAAAATCCTCCGGCGAATAACAATAAGGGCCCTGCTGGCAAAGCAGCAAGTCCCTTAATAACAATAACAAAAGTTGTAGTAAACAACTTGGAGTGGAAAGTTATTTGTTGGATTATTTATTTATTTAGAACCATTGTGTCCCACCGTGCCACACTGCTGTTGTGTTTTTAGGAGTCAGAGATTTAAAAAACAAACTCATAAATTAAACATAACATAAAGAATGATAGAATCAACAGCTGTCCTCCTAATGACGCTATAGTGAATATACAGAACAAGCTAACTTTTGAACGCAAACACAATCACACCTCCCCTTGGGTATCTGCCCTCAGATGCTTCTACTGGATCCAGAAACCCACGTTGCCAGAGGAAACAAGATCATGCTAAACACCAGTTGCCGTTTTTTAGGTCCACACGTCTTTTGTTGTCCGTGACTTAAATGGTGATTTTCTTTTTGGGACTCTGGTAGTTTGTCCTAAAGCTGAAGTGGTAGCAGCTGGCTGTTTCTCCTCCTCTGATATTACTGAGAGGAGAAGCTCTCCCACCAGTGGTGTTCTGGTGCTGAATACATGAGTGTGCGATGAGTGGAGGACCCAGGGAAGTGCTGCGGTTCTGTGAGACCAACAACAAGATGGTCCAATAGTTGATTTCGGTCCTAAATGTGTTACTGGTGGAGGTTTTCAGACAAATACAAGATAACCACTTTATTATTATTATTATTATTATTATTATTATTATTATTACTATTATTATGTTTATTTTATCTCCACAATTTATTTATAGCTAGGCCTATACTATGTTAGAATGTTGTTGAGAGGCATGAAAAATGTTTTAAGCTGACTTGATTTCAAAATTTGCCATTGTAGTTTTAACCCACCCTCTAGGTCAGAGGTTCTCAATCCTGTTCCTGGAGGGCTGGTATCCAGCACATTTTAGTTGTTCCCCACTTCCACATCGCCTGATTTCAAGAGGCAGGTGATTAGCAGGCATCCGCAAAGCCTGATGAGCTGCTGAACAAGTTATTAAACCACTGAATTAAGCGTGCTGGAGCAGAACAACATAAACATTCTGCCTTCCAGGAACAGGATTTAGTACCCCTGCTCTAGAGGCTGAAAGTCTTCTCCATGTGTGTCCGGCTGCTCTTCACTACCTGTCTGTTGTGAAGCTGTCTGTCCACATAAATCTGTCCCTCAGTGATGTAACCAGTTAGGTCAGGAATAGGATGAGTGATGTCTGGAAGACAAAAAGCACCCTGCAAATAAAAACAATGCTACAGCCATGAGCATGAGGAGCTCATGTGGGTTTGGTTGGTACCATCATTGGGCATGGTGAGGATGGGGATCTGGGTGATGGAACCACTGCGCCCCTCTACTCTGCCTGCTCTTTCATAGATGGTAGCCAAATCTGTGTACATGTAGCCGGGGAAACCTCGACGACCTGGCACCTCCTCTCTGGCTGCAGACACCTGAGCAAGACAAACTAATAATTCATCTCCGATCTTCTGAATTCACTTGGAATAAATGCAAAAACAACGTGGCTGACCTCCCGAAGAGCCTCTGCATAGGAGCTCATGTCCGTGAGGATAACGAGGACGTGCTTCTCGCATTGATAGGCCAGATACTCTGCTGATGTCAGAGCCAAACGAGGTGTGATGATGCGCTCAATGCTGCATGAAGAAAAGGATTAGAATCTGTTTATTTCCACTTGTCTATTGTAACGTTTCATAACATGAAAAGCTATTGAATCTGATGGTCTGAAGATCGGAATTCAATCATCTCAGTCTTATGAGGACAAAGCCTTAAAAATACTAAAATACGTTAAAATATTGTGTCTATCTAGACGAGTCTCTTAATATCTTACTTTTAAAACATTTAGATGCATCTTTAAACATTTTTTTAAATAATCTAATGAACAACTTAAAAAAGTGGGGAAATACTGACATCTACTAATGTTAATAAAAGAGCCTGCAAGTCATACGTGGGGTCATTGGCCAGGTTAAGGAATAGACACACATTGTCCATGGATCCGTTCTCCTCAAAGTCCGACTTAAAGAACCGAGCCGTCTCCATGTTAACCTGAGGACAGAGAAAGAAGATGCAAAAAAACAGCTATTTGGAATATATGATATCAGAGATTGCTATAAAATACAACATCAAACCAAAAAATAATCCAGTAGATTATCACAAAAATCACATTCATTAACGTGATGCCCTGCATAACCTGAAATAAAGGCCAGTGAAACTGTGATTTAAAGCTCACAGTTGGCTGGTCTGTTGGAGGCCACTATAACATTACTACTTTAAAAAACAAGCAGCAAAAGTTCAAACTGGATCCTGAACTGGACAGGACGAATGGATGTGATGCTCTTTGTTGTCCCTGGCAGAAGGAGAGCACCTGCACTTTGAATAGCTTGACAGAAGGCTGGTTGAGACCCGCTCAGAACTCCAGGGGAGATGGGACCAAAGCATGAAATACTGTGTATACCAGGTCAGATGGGCTTAGTTTTACTGAGATGTTTTAGCTGGAAAAAGCTCATCTTAATGAACTCGTCTGTTTACTAAATTTATTGTGACAGTGTGTATTTTCCCAGGGAATAGGGGGCAGTACATACCTAAAATCATTGCAAGCAAGCAGTATTTTTGTGTTTGAGTAAGACCTTACCAACGGATGGCAATTAGGGTCAAAATCCCTGGGAGCGCAATTTTTAACAAGTACTTTGTCAGATCGTTCAAACTCCAGCTAAATGAGAAGAACATCAGACTCCCTTTCATCACTGGCAACAAGCGAAGAGGTAAATGTGAAAGTTTTATAACCACTTGTTTCAAATCAGTAAATGCGTTTTGTCCTCACAAGCTCCAGTAGAAGGAAACATGGCGTCGCCACAAGACTTAAGCCTAGTTTATGCTTCTGTTTCTACATCGGTACAGAGATGCGCAACGCCATTATTCGACCTTGCGAGGGCTCTCCAGCAGGCTCACAAGGACAGACGAAGTCAAGCCCACTTTTACCAAACATCCATCCAATGAGACAGAGAACGCAAGCTTGTGATTGGTCAGGACATCGCATTCAGAATAGCACCGCCATTGCGCCCTCAAAAACATAAAAGAGCCCAAGATATCTAGCGTGAGACAGAGAGCAGCTTGAAGAATAACTCATGGAAAAACACTAAAAATAGGAATGTTTTATTCACCAGTGACTGGATGAGTAAATAGATATGCAGCAGGTGTTTTATTTGTGCATGGAAATGATGGGAAACGCAGGTTTAGAGGTGGCTAGTGCATGAAGAGGTGGAGGAGCATGAAGGGCAAATTTGTCCAGGTTAAAAAGTCTCTGACCGGATACATGACAGGGTACCACAGAACACAGCTACACCCTCTGTTGTCCTGGTGGGGAATTGCTTTGCAACACTCCCCAGGAGACGGAGAAGTTCGAGAGCAAAATGTCTCCATCCATGTGTGTGAGTCTCTCCCTCGTGGAGCTGGCACAGAAGCATAAACTAGGCTTTAGACCTGCTTCCATGTACTTTAGACCTGATTTTTATGGTTCTGTGTTACAAACCTGCCAATATTTTTCAACAACTGAGCATCATTTAATCCATTTTCAATAACATTTTGATAGATATTTCCAGATATCAATGGTAAAAATTGCTCACTGTCACTTTAAAGACACAAAAATGACTAACAGTGCTTTAACACCAAGTGTTAGAGCAACAGTGAACCAGAGGTTAAGAGTCTGCCCTGTGATCAGTGGGTTCCTGCCATCTAACCCAGGCTCTGTCCATATTAGTAGTGTCCTTGGGCAAGACACTTCAACCTACTTGCCTGTGGGTGGTGGTCGGAGGGACTAGTGGTGCGTGTGTACGTTAGCCTCGCTGCTGCCGGTGCACCCCAGGGCAGCTGTGGCTACAATGTAGCTCATCACCATCAGTGTGTGAATGGGTGAATAACTGGCTAGTGTAAAGTATCTTGGAGTAATCTGACTCAGAAAAGTACAAAACAAGTGCAGATCATTTGTCATTGATCGTTTAATACCAACGGAGGACATGAAATAATAGCTCTTGTTTTATCTGATTGATGACATTTATCTTCATCTTTGTTTGAGCATCTAAATAGATGCTGGTCGTTGATGGAATAGACATACAGATTTGAGGTTTATCAGTGATGTGTTTTCTGAAAAAGAATCCCAGTAGAAGCAGGCATAATGAGAAAAGAAAGGGACCAAAGCTGGAGCCTTGAGGAACTCCACAATTAGGAGGCAGAGGAAAGAAATGTTGTCCAAGCTGGTCAGAAAAACTTCTACAGAGTATCTTTCCGGTGATAGCTGATAGTAAAGCTGAAAGGGAGTTCAAAAAGCAATTTAAAGGAAACAACAGAACATTGTTGACTGATGACAATCCATCGAGGTACTGAGAGCTGTTGCTGCTAAATGTGGTTCAAATTTAAATTGAAAAAAAAATGTCACATCATGGAAGTTAACAGAAAAACAGATTACAAATGAATGCATTAAAACATTTGAACTGAGTCAGTGTGACGGTGTGAGGCTGGTTCTTACCCCCATGGCTGCAAAAACAATAGCAAAGTTGTCTGCGCTGTAGTCCATCACATCCTTGGACTTCTTCACCAGACCGGCCTGCCGACAGATCTGAGCTGCTATCTGAAAGATGGAGGGAAATCTGAGATGTTACACAAACTCCTTAAAACATCTGGGCAGTCATTTTCCCTAATTAAAGATGAAACCTAAAATTGTCTTCATATTAATGAAATCAGATGAGTTCAAAAGAAATGACACACTGAATTATTCATTAGGTTTCATCAAGATGAGCCTTTTTAATCATACAGAAATGAACAGACAGGAAATTAACTGCCTTTATTCCAGTTCAAAGCCACCAGTGATTAGACCGCACCTGTAAAGGTCTAGCTGGAAACAGAAAAAAGATTTGACTCCTTCACAGTTTAATTAAGGTTTACGGTTTTAAAGGAGGCCTATTGTAAAATGTTATAATAGTCCTATGATCAATGCAAAACATCTGTATGAAGTTCTTTACAAAAAAATTCATCTCACACAAAGTGACCTCAGCAGTTTTATTCTTGACATTTTCGCTACCTTCCAGAAAAAACCTTTTCAACGCTCTGTCACTTTAAGAAAAAAAATGCTGAAATTGGCCACGCCCACCCATCCACACTCAGGCTGCTATAAGCTGAATAGCTCCAACATCTGGAATGGTCTCCGATTAAAGCAACTCCTTCTCCAGTCTGGAGAGGAGAGAGGTGGTTCTATGCCAAATTCCCAGTTTGTGACATCACAAAAAAGGACTTTTTAAAACAACTAATTTTAGGCTGATAATTCCTAAAACTAAATGCAGACAAAAACAAAAACAAATGGATGGGCTTTTTTTTCAGGTTTAGAGTGTTCATATCGGCAGTAGAGACCCACATGGCAGCAAAAAGGATGCAAAAGGTAGGTTTGTGTAATACATCCCCTTTAATTCAAACATTGTAGCACCAATGCAGAGTGTTTCAAGTGGGAATAACACCATGGGTAGAGACTTATTTCAACAACCAGTGCAGTGCAGCCACATAGTGCGGTACAGACAACGTCACCCTGCAGCTCTACAGCTGTGGCTGATTCTTAATCAAGGTGGAGCAGAGTTTTAACCTGAAGATGGAGATATAGTTACGGTTTTGGGATGAAATATTAAATTTAGAGAAAGTTGCACTAAACTGCCAAAATAATGATTACACATTTCTACAGCACTATTAGACACTCATCTATTCAGGTTATCAGAAAATAAAAAGTAGGTGTTATAGGTGTTACTCGCTCTTTAATATGCAGGTTATTATGTTCTATTGGAAGGTTCCAGCAAAGTAGTCGTTTTTAAACAAAATAAAATCCCTCCATCCATTGTCTGAACCCGCTTGTCCACGTAGGGTCGCGGGGGGCTGGTGCCTATCTCCAGCGGTCAATGGGCAATCAGGCGGGGTACACCCTGGACAGAGAGCCAGTCTGTCGCAGAGCAACACAGAGACACACAGGACAAACAATCATACACACACACACACTCACACCTAAGGACAGTTTAGACAGACCAATTAATCTAACAGTCATGTTTTTGGACTGTGGGAGGAAGCCGGAGCACCCGGAGAGAACCCACACATGCACAGGGAGAACATGCAAACTCCATGCAGAAAGATCCCAGGCCGGGAAGAGAACCCAGGACCTTCTTGCTGCAAGGCAACAGCTCTAACCACTGCACCACTGTGCAGCCAACAAAATAAAATTTAACTTTAATTCACTACATGTAACTCAACTTGTGCTTTTATACTGGCAAAATAGCACAAGTTCAGTTTGACTTCAATTTGATTGAGAAGGTGCCGCCCACACATTTACTACCACTGTGTTGCTCATTCCACAGGAGCTCAGGCTTTACAGGTTCTACCTTGTAGTAAAGATGACTTTTGAAGATTAAAATTTACTGCCATAAAGCAACGTTTCACCAAAGGCAAAACGTGTCCAAATACTATTTTATCTTATTTATTTTTATCATATTTATGTTTACTCCTCCTTGAACCGTCACCTTATCGTGGTGGAGGAGTTTGAGTGACCTAATGATCCTAGGAGCTATGTTGTCTGGGGCACTTAGTGCCCCTGGTAGGGTCTCCCATGACAAATTGGTCTTAGGTGAAGGGTGAGACAAAGAACGGTTCGAAGGATCTTTCATGGCGGTTAAAACGAAGAGTCGGAGTACCCGGCCCGGAGGGTTACCGGGGTCCCACCCTGGAGCCAGGCCTGGGGTTGGGGCCCGTGAGCGAGCGCCTGGTGGCCGGGCTTTCGCCCATGGGGCCCGGCCGGGCCCAGCCCGAACCGGATACATGGGCTCGTCCAACTGTGGACCCACCACCCGCAGGAGGAACATGAAGGGTCCGGTGCAATGCGAATCGGGTGGCAGACCAAGGCGGGAGCCTTGGTGGTCCAATCCCCGGACAAGAAAACTAGTTTTTGGGACATGGAACGTCACCTCGCTGGCGGGGAAGGAGCCGGAGCTTGTGGCAGAGGTTGAGCGGTACCGGCTAGATATAGTCGGACTCACCTCGACACATTGCATTGGCTCTGGAACCCGAGACCTGGAGAGGGGTTGGACACTCTACTTTGCTGGAGTTGCTCCGGGTGAGAGGCGGAGGGCTGGGGTTGGCTTTTTGTTAGCCCCAAGACTCTCTGCCTGTGTGTTGGGGTTTACCCCGGGGGACAAGAGGGTAGCTTCCTTGCGCCTTCGGGTCGGGGAACGGGTCCTGACTGTTGTTTGTGCTTATGGGCCAAATATCAGTTCAGAGTACCCACCCTTTTGGAGTCCCTGGGACGAGTGCTAGATAGTGCTCCATCAGGGGACTCCATTGTCCTGCTGGGGGACTTCAATGCTCACGTGGGCAATGACAGCTTGACCTGGAGGGGTGTGATTGGGAGGAACGGCCCACCTAATCTGAACTCGAGCGGTGTTTTGTTATTGGACTTCTGTGCAAGCCGCAGTTTGGCCATAACGAACACCATGTTCGAACATAAGGATGCCCACCGGTACACTTGGTACCAGGGCAGCCTAGGTCACAGGTCGATGATAGATTTTGTAGTCGTATCATCGGACCTGCGGCCGTATGTTTTGGACACCCGAGTGAAGAGAGGGGCGGAGCTGTCAACTGATCACCACCTGGTGGTGAGTTGGATCAGATGGCAAGGGAACATGCCGCGTAGACCTGGCAGACCCAAACGCATAGTGAGGGTCTGCTGGGAACGCCTGGCAGAAGAACCTGTCAAGACGGTCTTCAACTCCCACCTCCGGCAGAGCTTTGACCACGTCCCGAGAGCAGTGGGGGACATTGAGTCCGAGTGGGCCTTGTTCCACTCTGCGATTGTTGAGGCGGCTGTTGCTAGCTGTGGTCGTAAGGTGGCCGGTGCCAGTCGTGGTGGCAACCCCCGTACCCGCTGGTGGACACCAGAGGTTCGGGGAGCCATCAGGCTGAAGAAGGAGGCCTACAGGGCGTGGCTGGTCTGTGGGTCTCCGGAGGCAGCAGACAGGTACCGGATAGCCAAGCGGGGTGCAGCAGTGGCAGTTGCCGAGGCAAAATCTCGGGCGTGGGAGGAGTTTGGTGAGGCCATGGAGAAAGACTATCGATCGGCTCCAAAGAGGTTCTGGCAAACTGTCCGGCGCCTCAGGAGAGGAAGGCAGCAACTCGCTCACACTGTTTACAGTGGGGATGGGGAGCTGCTGACGTCAACTGAGGCTATAGTCGGACGGTGGAAGGAATACTTTGAGGAGCTCCTCAATCCCACCAATGCGCATTCCGAGGAGGAACCAGAGCTGGGAGGCCTGGGGATGGACTGTCCGATCTCGGGGGCAGAAGTTGCTGAGGTAGTCAAACAACTACACAGCGGCGGAGCCCCGGGGGCGGATGAGGTTCGTCCTGGGTATCTCAAGGCTATGGATGTTGTAGGGCTGTCATGGTTGACACGTCTCTACAACATTGCGTGGTCATCGGGGGCAGTTCCTAGGGAGTGGCAGACCGGGGTGGTGGTCCCCATCTTTAAGAAGGGTGACCTGAGGGTGTGTTCCAACTATAGGGGGATCACACTCCTCAGCCTCCCTGGAAAGGTCTACGCCAAGGTACTGCAGAGGAGGGTCCGATCGATAGTTGAATCTCAGATAGAGGAGGAGCAATGTGGTTTTCGTCCTGGCCGTGGAACTGTGGACCAGCTCTATACCCTTGCAAGGGTGATGGAGGGGGCATGGGAGTTTGCCCAACCAATCCACATGTGCTTTGTGGATTTGGAGAAGGCTTATGACCGTGTCCCCAGGGGCACCCTGTGGGGGACGCTCCAGGAGTATGGGGTGGGTGGCTTTCTGTTAAGGGCCATTCAGTCCCTTTACCAGAGGAGCGTGAGTTTGGTCCGCATAGCCGGTAGTAAGTCGGACCTGTTCCCAGTGAGGGTTGGACTCCGCCAGGGCTGCCCTTTGTCACCGGTTCTGTTCATCACTTTTATGGACAGAATTTCTAGACGCAGCCGTGGTGTGGAGTGTGTCGAGTTTGGTGGCAGGAGAATCTCGTATCTGCTTTTTGCGGATGATGTGGTCCTCCTAGCTTCATCCAGCTCTGACCTTCAGCTCTTGCTGGGTAGGTTCGCGGCCGAATGTGAAGCGGCTGGGATGAGGATCAGCACCTCCAAATCTGAGACCATGGTTCTCGACCGGAAAAGGGTGGCTTGCCACCTCCGGGTCGGGGGAGAGGTCCTACCTCAAGTGGAGGAGTTTAAGTATCTCGGGGTCTTGTTCACGAGTGAGGGTAGGAGGGATCGGGAGATCGACAGGCGGATTGGTTCGGCGTCTGCAGTGATGCGGACGCTGAGCCGATCTGTCGTGGGGAAGAGGGAGCTGAGCCAGAAGGCCAGGCTCTCGATTTACCGGTCGATCTACGTCCCAATCCTCACCTATGGTCATGAGCTTTGGGTAATGACCGAAAGAACGAGATCGCGGATACAAGCGGCCGAAATGAGTTTCCTCCGTAGGGTGGCCGGGCTCAGCCTTAAAGATAGGGTGAGGAGCTCGGACATTCGGGAGGGACTCGGAGTAGAACCGCTGCTCCTCCGGATCGAAAGGAGCCAGTTGAGGTGGTTTGGGCATCTGGTCAGGATGCCTCCTGGACGCCTCCCCGGGGAGGTGTTTCGGGCATGTCCTGCCGGCAGAAGGCCCCCGGGTCGACCCAGGACACGTTGGAGAGGTTACATCTCCAATCTGGTCCGGGAACGCCTTGGGGTCCTGCCGGAGGAGCTGGTGGACAAGGCCGGGGAGAGGACGGCCTGGAGCTCCCTAGTTGGGATGCTGCCCCCGCGACCCGGACCCGGATAAACGGAGGAAGACGAAGACGAAGACGAACGAATATTTATGTTTATTTGCTTTGAGCTGCAAAACCAGTAGTCTGTAGAAGGATAAATATTGTTGCTTTTAAGCTTCATATATTACCTTTACTTATGACAGATAAGCTGTGATATTCCATATAAATATAAGATATCAACCTTATTAGTCTTTGAATGTTTAATCAGAAGATTCTAGAAATCTTTACTTTTTCAGCGATCAAACACACTTCGTATTAATTCAAGAAGAGAGTCAAGTTTATAAAAAGTAAGAACTTGATTTTCTAAACAATTAAAAACATGAAACTAGGAACACTTTATGTGATGAATGAATCTAAGTGGATGGAATGTGAGGTGTGATGATGTGTGAATGTGATGTTATCAGAAGCTCTCGTATCTGAAGAAACTGAGTTCTGAGTGAGAGTGAATTTGGTTTGCTGTAACTATAATTGATGGTTAATAAAACCACATCAGACGCAATCTGTGAGCCTGCGTACCCTTCGTCGGAGACCCCTGTTGTAGATCCAGACTGTCAGGTAGTCGGGTGTACCGAAGTCCGTAGGACAAACCGCAGTACGACCAGACCGGTCTCGAGATGTCTCCAGGTCACCACAGTTGTTTGCGTCTTAGGAATAACTCTTAAGGAGTTGAAGTTGGTTCAGCTTTATTCTGAAGGAACCGTTTGCGGTCAGCTGTAGCGTGCAACAGGTTTTGACAGCTTGTCAAAAGATGCTCTGGGTTAAAGAGGTTTTGCTCCGGATGGCCGGTCCGAAGCTTTCTCAAGAACTCACAAGAACTGACTCATGGTGAAGTGAGCTCTGTTTTAATGATCGTCATATTTTGATTTACTAACAAATCAGAATTTGACAAGTAAATAGAGTTTTATCAACAAACCTCAGAAAACACGCCTCGCGTCAGATACAGAAGTTCTGATTGGTGGAACAGAAAGCAACGTGTCAGGATATTAGCTTGACCTTGTCATCATCACATGTCTGAGTGTGTGAGCTGTCAGTAGATAGTGATTCACTTGTTAAATCTAACTTAACTGATCATAATAATATTCATTTCAACCACAGTAATTTAAGCACAGATTATTCAAACATTAATATTAGTATTCATATAATATTTGTTCATTCAACCATATTATTTTTAATGATTATTTATCTTATGAGTTGTAAAAGTTCATCTTTCATGAGAGTGTACAATCCTGTGGTCTTATCAAAAGAAGGCTTTGTTTGGGAACATAGGCTGACATCTTGTTCCCCCTGAAATGTCAACTAGGGCTGCAGAATCTTCTGGGCTTTAGAAGACAGGATAGAAACTCCACTCAGATAGTGGAATTATGTCTGTAGATGACCAGACATTGTGTAGGTCAATATGTAGGTGAAAACTGACCATTTCTGGACGTTACAAGTCAAACGTCCTCCGTGTTTTGGTGTGTATAAGGAGATGTGTGTCTGTATTATATGATGAAAACTTTTTGCAAACGTTTCATTAAAACTTGAACAAAATGTGTATGTGTCTGATTGTCAGGTGACATGTTGAAGTTCAGGGTAAATGAGTAGAGAATATGTGTGTTTTTTGTAAACCTCATTGTGTGGCAGTCCTGCTGCAGAAAAGATGGGTATTTTCTGCCCTCTAGCGATGCTGTTCATGCCATCAATGGCAGAAATCCCAGTCTGGATCATCTCCTCGGGGTAAATACGACACTGAGGGTTGATAGGCTGGCCTGTGGGAAAACACACAGGAAGATGGGCTTAGAGACACAGTCACAGGTAAGCCAGAAGGCCCAAGGAGCAGCCTTTACTCCCTATGGCTTAATTTCACAGTGAATTCTGCATAAAAGGACAAAAGCTGGTGGGAACATACCCATGATGTCCAGGAAGTCTTCAGCCAGGACTGCTGGTCCTCTGTCAATAGGTTTACCAGATCCATTAAACACACGGCCTAAACACACACACACACACACACACACACACACACACACACACACACACACACACACACACACACACACACGCACACACAGACACACACACACACACACACATTTTTAACCAATACAACCACAGTAGCTTTATCTTGCAAAACAGTCCATTTAAAATGTGTGTGTGTGTGTGTGTGTGTGTGTGTGTGTGTGTGTGTGTGTGTGTGTGTGTGTGTGTGTGTGTGTGTGTGTGTGTGTGTGTGTGTGTGTGTGTGTGTGTGTGTGTGTGTGTGTGTGTAAGTGGTAACGTACCCAACATGTCCTCAGAAACTGGTGTCCGTAAGATGTCTCCAGTGAACTCACAGCTAGTCTTCTTGGCATCGATGCCAGCTGTCCCCTCAAAAACCTGTAGACAATTTACAATCATTCAAAGCCCTTAATTTTTATTGTTTATAATTCAAATTTGTATTAGTTTTCTTTTCCTCTGTACAATATCATGATAAAATAAACTAGAACAAAATGAAGAAAAAACAAAAAAAGTTGAGGCAGTGATGTTACAGATTGCTAATCCTACGTTGTGCATTCAGAGCACCACAGTCCAGTCTGCTAATAACACCTTCACAAGGTAGAAGTCACATATGAGCATATGCTGTCCCTTTCTTGTTCTGTTAAGAGTCTCATCACTCCCATTTAATCTTCCCGGCATTTTTTCACACAGTGCATTCCCGATCATTCGTTCCCTCCACATTTTGATTGTTGGGATCTCAAAGCTCTTAACTGAGCAAAATAAAATGTTAACTTATAAAAATCAAATATTTTCTCTCAGTTCCAAGGTCACGCTCTCAGAACTTAAAAACTCCTGCCTCTAAAAACCCCAATCATCAATATTTACATATGAAACTTTGTCATAGAGCTTGTTTGACACAAACTGTTAAAACCCTCTTTACTCGTTTTGTCCCCTGGGACTCTGGGCTCATTTACTCTTGTTGTACGGGAATGTGCCGGTGTTCAGGACTTCTGGGTTAAAGTACTTTGTTGTATTGTCCTTCTACCCTTGGATCCTGTTTTCACTTATTAAATTATGACTCACATTGATTTTAGCAGAATGATGTAACACACAATGAGTTATTGTTAATAATTACTATTTTACACGTTTACAACCAAAACCCTTTTCCTAAGTATTTTCCTCCCTGACACAAAATAATCAGCTATCATCATTCATTAGTTTTGTCATAAATCAACTAAACTGATCGTTACTATAAAAGAAGAGGGCATGTGCAGAAGGCGCCGATGTCTTCTTCTTTTAAAGAGCCATCACTACTTTGCATCAGAAATAACCAGATATGTTGAAAGTTTTTGCTAAGCTGAAAGAAATGATTTCTGGATATTCAAAAACATCTAGGCGAGAGGCTCAGCTGCAGTGAATAAGGTTTCAGGATGTCCATGGGGAGGACACTTAAGAGTCATGAGGACACCAGAGCAGAGTAGGTGGACGTCAGAACATCTAAACAGTTTATTGAAGAGTTGTTAATGCTCTCCCACGTCTCTGCTCAAAAACATATGGGCCATTCCCATCTGTACCGGGTCGGCCCGGGCCGGGTAGCCCCAGTCGGCCCCAGCCTGGCCCGGTTGATTCCACACATCCTTGCCTTAAGCCCATGTGGCCTGATTCCACCCACCAATCAGAGGCTTGCTCTAATGGAAGGTGTGAATTTGCTGTCAGCAGTGGGTGTGTTGGCCCTGGTCGGCCTGAAGCAGACCCCCTCGAGAAGAGGGCTGAGAATGAGACTTGTTTGGCCCGGAAAAATACCAGGCCACCCAGATATGTAAACAACCTACGCTACCCGGCCCGGGCCGACCCGGTACAGATGGGAATGGCCTATTAGTCATGAACAAAGAGCTACATGAAAACAACCTACAAGAAGAACTTCTGCCACTAAAGTCGTTCCAGGGAATCAGCTCTACTCCGCCTTGCCTGGGTAGAGTGTTCACATCTGGCTAGCCTGGATTTTTTTTTTTCTGTGTGCAACAGGTTGATTTTTCAACCCTTTTCACAAAGCAGTCTGCTTTGGGATGAACTGGTCCAACACACCCACTGCCAACTGATTGGCCAGCTCAAAGTCAGGCCTACCGTTAGGGGGAGCCTCTAATTGGCAGATAGAATCAGTAAATGGGGGTTTACCGCATTCACAATTCATTATCATTCTGGATACTGAGGAGGAAATGAGCCTCTGACTGAAGCTGTCTCTGCTGTGAGCACACACACACACACACACATACAGCGCTGCGAGACTTGAGCTGCCCCACGGGAGGACGCAGCAGAGCAAGATGCAATATCAGAGTCAGTCTCCAAAAGCAACACTGCTCACGGCTGCCTCTTTTGTTTACCGTGGACTTTGCGCATCTTTTGCCCCGCCCACGAGCTCAGAGATGCGCTCATGACATCACTGAAATATTCGGGTAAATTTTGGAGACTGCCCACGTTTGCATTCCTAAGGATGTGTGTAATCAACCCGGCCAGGCAGGGGCGGGCTGGACCTGACTGCGTGGAGTGAAGTGGAGCGGAGCCAGTGTTCTGTCTTTTTCAGACTGGCATGCCCACATTACAGCGCATGCTAGTCTGACAGGCCAGGTATGTCAGACTGACCCTGCACCCTAACTCTTACCCTATCCCCAAAGACAGCATACAGGTCAGAGCGCATAATATGCATGAGTGTTATGTTCAGCATTTGTTCAGCAGCATCAGCATCACCTTTTCTAACCCCCAGAGTCTGACGCAGCATCCATATGAAATTCATAACAACTTGCTGAGCTTTGTTCACTTGAACATAACCAAGTAGAAAGATCAAGTTAATCGCTTTAACTGCTCTGAAATTGAAGACTACCCTACTTTATATTTTGGTTTGTTATGAGAGATTGGCAAAACTAGATATAATAAGTGGTTATAAAACATATTAGGAAACCGCAACAATCCTAAAACAAGAATGTTTGTCAGGAATTATGTAGATATTGTTCACCATCACCGGTTTGGTCTGTTAGCACATTACGCTTCATCAGAAACACAAAGTTCTGGATATAGAAAGCTAAAAGCCAGTCTGAGTACCTGAACCACAGCCTTGGATCCAGTGACCTCCAAAACCTGTCCGCTCCGTTTGGTACCATCAGGTAGGGTGAGGTGGACAATCTCAGCGTACTTTGGGAACTGTTCAATAGCAGCAGGACCAAAGATGTTAGTCACACAGCTTATAAACTCAACTGAATTAGGTGTCAGGATAGTGGAGGCCAGGCCTTTACTGATCCTACCATGGTTATTTAAATGTAAATAGATCAGGATGCATGTCTCACCCATCATAAAGGAGAATGCTTTAGTATTTGGTTGTTATTCTTTAAAATGTTCTTAGACGTTTCAAGACTGGTTGATCAAACACATAGTTGCGTTTTAGGTAAAACCTTTTGGTCAAGTTTTGCTTGTTTGAACTGTTAGAAAAAGAAAAGGTGACTTTCCCTCTTTGGTGTGGTGCTTCAGCAGGTGAAAGACCTTCTATAATCTGTAAAACACAACCACAGAGGTGGTTCTTTACCTTCACTTGATCCAAAATCACCAGAGGACCGTTGACTCCAGACACAGTTTTATAGGCTAAAGATGCAGAGAAGAAGAAAATACATTAAGAAAACCTCTCAAAGATCCAGCTCCATCTTAACCCCCAGAGACCCACGGTTGTAATATTACATCAGATTTAAGTCTACAAAAATAAACCTTCCCTATTTTTTTTTTCTTTTTAAAACCACATTTACATTGCTAATAGGTCCTATTGTTCAGTTCTGCAACACTATTGGCTGTTAAAATGTGTAAATAGGCCCGTTTATCTGGCCTCCTAGAACAACATGTGAAAGGTTAAAAAAAGATTTTGCAGTTGTTTTCTAAATTTGGGTTTCTGGGGGTTAAAGATCAAACACAGCTTTACTGTTTCGTTGCTTTATATGAAGAAACTCAAAACATTTGAATATTGTGCAAAAGATCATTTATGTCAGTAATTCATCTTAAAAGGTGAAACTACAGTAATAAATTAGACGGACTCATTACATGCAAAGTCTTTATTTGTTCTAATTGTGATGATTATGGCTTACAGCTGATCTCAGACAATCAGAACATTGTGAAAAGGTTCATTATCCTAGACTCAAAGTGTCACCCTCTAATCAGCTAATGAATCCAGAACACCTGCAAAGGGTTGCTGAGCCTTTAGATGGTCTCTCAGTCTAAACTGGCTCACTGATATAAATGGACTTCTAGACCATATTCTTGTTTTTTGACTTTCACCTGTAGCTGCCTGACATACGCCCAAAATGAAATTTTAATCCTCGCTGACCCCTGGTGCTACATGCAGTGAACAAAGAAATAAATAAAAAACAACCTCCATTAAAAAGAAATCATGAAAGCAACAAACAAGAATCGACATAAGAAATAAACATTAAGAGACTGGGTCACCCCTAGTTATATAGTAGGAAGACCAGAGAAAGACTCATTAGGTGCAGTTACTTTAAACACTGGAGATGATGGCATCTTTGTGGTTGAGAAGGAGAGAGGGGGGTGAAGGCCCAGAGTTCATTTTGGGAAAGGAGTGCTGAGTAGAGCTTCAGCAGAGTGGAGGATGAAGCTGTTGTTTTGCCTGCAGGTTCTGGCTCAGAGGCGTTGCAGCCTCCTTCATGATGGCAGCAGGCTAAGAGGCTGGGAGAAGGGTGCAAGGGGTCAGAGTTTTATGGGTGAAGCAGATTCCTCCATGTCCTGGAAGGGTGGGTGGGGGAGCTGCTCTTTCTATGCACTGCAGGTTCACGCAGCAGGACATGTGGCCATTGTGGTGCCTCTGTAGAAGGCGCTCTCCCACTCTTTAGTTATTGGAGGGACTTGTTGGGCTTTTCCAGCCAGTGATAGTGTTGGGGCTCCATGACTGGTTGTCAGAGATGCACATTATCGGAATTTGGTGCTGGACAACTTCTCTATATGTGGATCAGCAGCATTGTTGATGGTCAGAGGGGCAAGCTGAGGGTACTCGCCTGATGTCCAGGTGTTGCTCCGGAGCTGAACTGCCTGGCATAAAGATTTTCTTGTTCTTGAAACAGCTGCATGGTTTAGAAACTACACTGATTGTCCTCAGGCATCAGCATAAATTCTGCTTCTAAACTAGATAAATAGGACTGGTTCAAAAAACAGAATACAGCTCTATCCACCTGACTAAACTATTTTACTGAAATAAAAATGTTTAATATCCGAGTTGGTTACCACAGATTGAGTTATTTCAGTGGATTAAAGCTAATTTCTGAGTCCCAGTGGGAATGATGTCACATTAGTCAGAGAACACTGAGATGGTTTTGGTGGTGAGGAACCAACAGAACCACAAACAGAACTCCATCAGAACCTTCTGTCTGACTGGCAGGATCTAAAGAAAGTTCTGGACTGACTCTAATCTTCCTGACGGATCTCTGATAAACACCTTGACAGGATGGAGCCCTGCCTCTCGGACCTCAACATACATTTGCAGACTCACTCAGGCGAGGCTGTGATATGTAATCTCGGCTGACGGCCAGGGCGTGCTCCCGGGAGGCGGCGGTGCTCCCGGCGGACACCGGAGCGGCGGCTGTCGGTCTGCTGCCGCTGACGGCCGAAGAGAGCTCGCTCATGGCTCCGTTCACCATCCCTCTGAGCGCCTTCATCGCCATGTTTCCACCTGAAACAGCTGCAGCAGGGTCTGAGTCGTGACTGTCACGGCGCATGCGCAGCCTGCTGCAGCCGCATCGTCTGAAAATGATCTCGTAAATCAAAACCATTAGGAATATATTTTAATCAATGTATTTTTTCCTATTTTCATAATACACAATTTGTTTTTGGGGATTGTTTCCTTTTTTATGTTTATTACACCCAATCATGACTTCTGTCCACATAAGTTTATGTAATTTAAAATTTAATGTTCCCCACTGTTTCAAAATATCTCCATGTTACATGTAAAACTGTCCCCAAAATGTAGTGCAAACAAAGTATACATACACACACACAGTATTTTATCATGAACTATTTATTGGTGCTGTTGTTGGCTTGGATAGTCCCACTGTTGTTTTGTCCTGTTTGTCCTCTCTTCCTGTCGACCCCGATGCATAAACAGATGTAGTCATACTACAATTATAAAAACGTGAATTGCACAACGGGAGAAGAACCTCACTCATTTCCTGCACCCAGACAGATCGTTGTTTGCTTCACCAGAACAGGACTGGTTCAAAGATAAATATAAAAGTAAAACACCAGCAACTCTCGGTGTTGTCATTAAAACCTGCCTAAAAGCCATTAGAACCACGAATCTGCAATAAAACCAAATAAACAAATTAGACATGATACTGTCTATGCTGTTCTGGGACCAGCTACTCTATCACCCAAACTAGTAATCATCATATCTGTTAGTGCGATGTCTGCCGGTGTGCCAGTCGGAGGTCCTGGGTTTGTGCCAGCCCCAGTCCTGTGCTGCTTCTTCGTCATCGGGTAGAGAAGTCCACTGGTCAGGGTATCGCGGGAGTCTTCTTCTGTCCTCATGCGCTGAATTCTGAGGGTGCCTGGACCAGCTGTCCGCTGATCGAGGGGGTCTCCTATACTGACTGTCGGGGTGTGTGGGCGTCCATCTGTATGACTGATAATGGGATGAAGAGACAGGACGGCGAGGAGGAGAGTGGAGTAATGGGGATTGTGTGAAGAAACCACGATGAGGAGGTTGGAAGTTTGATCTTTCAGGAGGATATGACCTGCAGAAAGAACAACAGTAGGAATAAATCTCTCTGCCAGTAAGACAGCCCCCCTCCTGCTCGCACCTCACATTCCACTGACTGAGAACCACTGCTGTAATCTGCAGACATGACATCGGTGAAAAAGGTGAGAGCACCACCAGCACAGCCAGGCTCTGCTGCTAAAAACACAAACTACAAAAAATCCTAAACTTCTAATACAAATGTCAGGTGTTTATTTTGTATTTGCTAATAATAATAATAAAACCAGCAGAAGGATGTGAGCTGTATTAGGATTTAAAGATAGCTGCGTTTCAGCCTCACAGGCTCAATGGCACCAGATTCAGATAAGAAATTGTTTTGGGGCCAGACAAGAGATAATTTCTTCTCTGTCTTAAAGTTCCGCTGGTCCTCAACCTCTCAAAATCCACTAATGGCGTAAATTAATCTATCCCAATCCGTGCTGATTCGTCCACTCGCTCCTTGATCGCATCCATCTTTGGTGCCAATGCATGAAGCTTACGACTCATCTCGACAATTATACGAGTCTGTGCATTCACAGCGCGGTGTAATCCATCACTGAGCTCCGCGAAAGAGCCAATATTCCTCAACAGACTTCCTCCCAGGTCAAAAGGCAGGAAACCTGACACCAACACCACGAATATCCATACATCTTCAGAATCCTCTACAGACCGTTGAGATAAGCATATCAGGTTCCACTGTTTCCAGGAGTCCATGATATGCCCAACTTGATCTGTCCCAGAGGAGCACCCGGGAGCCCCTTCTCCCGTTCTTATCTTTGAGAACATTTTGTCAGTCGTGTTGAGACCAGCTGACCAGGTCCATTTTTAATCATTTCCAGTTTCCAGAAAAAATGTAGAAGTGCCGTACACTCAGAGACAAAGAGCCTTGGGATAAGATAGGGAGGAGAGGAGGAAAAAAGCGTCTGCACTCTCCAAGAGCCGAAAGAAGACTCCTGTTGCTGTTCCTCAACTCCTCCATGTGTCCAATGGTTTGAGGTGCATCCATCTCCTCTGTCCAGTGTCTCTGTCAGAGCGCGACTCTCAGTCCGCTTAAAAAATCCAATAGACCCAAATCAAATCTGACTTGACTGCTCAGGCATACTCGGTTGAGACTCGGGTCGTATAAATGGGAAAGAGCCCCTAACCTAAAGGTAGACCTGCGTTTGTGTGAGTCATGCATCACTGGTTCCAACAGAATTATTTATTTATTGTACTGTTGTGGACATCTAAAAAAAAATCCTCCTTTAATCCCCCCCAGTTAATTTCCGAAACCCTCGCTGTCATGTAAAGGCCCATCACCTCACCCCCACCCACCCCACATACTTTCTCATCGAATCTCCTTGAATCACATAGGTGAGGCACTTTGGATTCAACAGGGAAAATTTCACCAAAAGGTGGAGGATTTTCATGTCTGAATCTCTGACCCGCTGATGTCAGAACCATTGGATTATTAAACTGGTGCTGAGTGAAAACTGGCCACAGATTTTTCTAAGTCATAGAAACACAGGAAACACATATTGAGCCTGAACATTTAAAAGTGTGGAACACCAAAGAACCATGTTTTAATGGTTATTTCTGATTATAATTGGTCAATCTGAGTTTTTCATGCAGGCTGAACATAAAAATCAGTTCTGATAGAAAATAGATGGTGAAACTCTAAGATTAGAAAATCTGACAGATCTACGTCAACATTCATGGACTCACTCATCTCAAACATCTATGTTGCAAAGCAAATGAAGTCAATGGTAGAGTCACATTGTTGTCATTCAATCAGAGATGAGATGTCCAAGTCCTGCCATGTTAGGCTCCCTTCTGACGTGGCATTCAGCTACTACAACTTTCATTCCTACTAGAGACCACTGGAAATGTATTGATTAAATGAGTGCCCCACACCTTTAAACGTATCTGAAGGACTGGCACACTGGCTGATAACTAAAAACATATTCATATAAACTCAGTCATAACTCAAAGTTAAATGGAAAAGATCAGAAAGTGTCCTTTTTTTAAAGAATACCTGAGATATTTGGGGTCATTAGAGCTCTCTCGACCGGAGGCTTGTCCTCTTACTGGCTCCTGCTCCAACTCCTCAATTCCCACATTACTGTTGGAACAGATCAGAGGGAATAAGTCGACACGCAGCAGATCCATCAGACAGGACCACTGCAGATGATTCAGAGCAGATTTCAGATCCTAAAGGTCTTCTGTAGCTTCTTGATGACAACTCCTGATATGAGAGAACAGCTGTGTGTTGCAGGGGGTCCCTGTGGTAGGTAATGTGTACGAAGGGAAAACCGACAGGCCTGAGGCTTAGAAAAGGAAACACACGGTGAAACTGCTAATAAACTTTGACAGCTGTGCAAAATTTCCAGTAACCAGGGTATATACAGCAATCCTTAAGTAAAATTTACTACTTTTTAATACTTTTTTTTACTACCTTCAGAATTTTTTTAAAACCATCACAACACTAAATTGCATGTGTTAATCAGCGACCTATTTACACATATTTTAACATATATAACATACAAAAAGAATAGACTTAGAGACTCACTGATGTTGACAACGTATTGCACATATTTATTTTACAATAAGCCAGGCACTTCTTTTCAGCGGTTCAGACAGTTGACCACGAGGCCTGAAATGATGCAGAACGACCACTGAATATGACGTCATCATTATGTGACCGGATATGCTTAAGTAGGGCTGCTCGATTGTGGCAAAAACAATAATCACGATTATTGTGACTGAAATTGAGATCTCGATTATTTAATACGATTTTTCAATTTATGTAGATTTTTATTTTTTTATTTTTATTCAGTCATAAAACTGCTCAGGGCACAATCAGGGCAAAAATAAACAAGAAACAAGATGATCACTAAAATAACTCCTGATTCCCAGTATAAAAAGACCGATATACTTATAGCTCATAGTTTATGACCCAAGGGCTATAGACCTTGGTTTAACTCATTTAAGTCTAACCAGTACAGACCCAAATACCAATATCTTGCTAATACTGACAGCAAGAATTATACAGTGGCATTTATAACAAATACATGCAAATTGATGTTCACTAAATTTTGCATAACATTTATTGAGTCGTGTCAAGGTGCTGTAGGAGAGTGCACTAGCACCGTGTCCTCAGAGAGATTAGTTATTTATCAGCGTGAGGAACTTATTTCTACCTTATTTATAAACTATTTATTTACAAGTCCATCAGTTAATGTAATAATTGTCCCAACCACAGCTGCACCCCCCACCCCCCAACCCGGTCTCACAACAATCGGGGGCAAGCTGCACGTGTGTTTAACGCGCCGCACGCGCACATTTAGCCGTTTTTATCGGCTCAGGAGTCCGCAGGTGCGGTGTGTGTGTCACTCACTCTGGTTACTCCAACAGGGAGCCGACTCTGAGAGCTGTTTCTGTAGCGACTGACACATCACTACATCATTCCCTTTCCTAATGTCCTGAAGAACGGTCCGGAGTGTTTAGCTAACTTGCAGGAAATGTCGACGACAGTTATCCAGAAAGTAGCTAAGGGTTACCAGAGATGTTTCTGAGGTGTTCGCTAGGTAGTTGGTACTTTTAAGATTTAAAAAGTCAAGAAGGGGGTCTGAGAAGCTGTTAGAAATAGCGTCAAAGTCGCCAAGTTGGCAACACTGTGGAGGAGCGCTTCATTTGCAACTCAGGGCAGCGCAAGTGGGAGGAGCAAATAATCGGCTCGTTTTATTTTTATAATTGTTCAAAACATTTCATTCGGAATATATTTCTATGTCGATGTTGAGAATACGACATCTGATAGTCTGAAAAAATAATACCTAATTTGGAAAAAATAATACCTCTGAGACCAAATTTAACACTTTTAATGGCCTTAAATTTGACTATTTTTATTCATCACTTTTTAATACTTTTTAAAACCCCGCGGACACCCTGAGTAACTATTTAGTCAAAGTATTCTCTTAATGTTTTGTTGCTTTTATTTGCAAATGGCACAGAAAATATTTTTTCAACGTTATCTTACATGCCTCACTCTCTCTGACACTAAACTAGGGTTCCAGCCATGTGCAACACCGCTGAGACCATGTTGGGAGGAAATGTTTTGTGAACCTGTGTTCATGATAACCGGTGACAAGACGGTGGGGCCCTACGACAGATGGAGATAAAAAGCCCACAAAGGTTTAGAGCAGGGTATCTGCAGGTTTAAGGGTGCCAAATTTAAGACTTTTTAAGACCTTTTTAAGGCCACTTAGACCAAATTTAAGCTATTTTTAAAATTAAATTTAAGCTTTAATTTACAGCTATTGCCTGGATCCGGTGCTAACCACGTCGCAAACGTGGGATTAACCATCCAGTTACCATTAAACTTGCACTTCCCCATGGAGCAAGCTCCCACTAGTTTAACCAGCTAATGTGCTCATCTAAAAATAGCCCCCCTTTCACAACCAACTGAATGTGTATGGTTCCGCTCATGCCAACATCGTACACAAAAAATGCTGAACACTAACTAGAAAGTCACGAAAATTTTATAGAAATAAAAGAATCTTGTTTATTGGGTCTTTGAAAATTTAAGACCTTTGGAAACTGCATTTAAGGATTATTTGTAATTTTTAAGGATTTTTAAGGCCTTAAATTTGGAAAAGCTAATTTAAGACTTTTTAAGGACCAGCGGACGCCCTGTAGAGGCATCTTGAAAACTCCCTCTGGAAATAGCGATAGCTGACATCACCTCCTCCTTGGTCCATGTTTAAGATCTTTCAGGTAGTTCTGTCTCTCAATTGCGTGACCCCGGGACGAGTTGAACACTGTAAACGGAACACAAATTTAGGAGCTTCATGATCATGCTTAGATGCTGCTTGAGAAGTTAAACTGAAAGACCCACGCTTAACTGCCTTTTCAGGGTCCATCCCATCCACGTCAATCAGATACCTGCAGGTCACACAGTCATTAGACTCCACCCACATCTCCACCTCATCCTGCAGGTGCTGCAGGTGCTCCCTGTACATACCTGCAGATCAAGTAGCCCGTGCGGTTAACTCCGTGGGTGCAGTGGACTCCGATCAGCTTGTCTGAAAGAGATGTTGGGGCTTTAAAAAGGCAAAGGTGGAGCCGCCGCCCGCTGCTCAGCACTACATTTATGAATGAAGAAGCACGTGGCTGAAGGGTGTCACAATAAATCACGATAAACATTTTTAAACTGTCAAAGGCCCAGTGTGTGGAAAAAATACACTCTTTGGCACCACACAGTTCAGAGCAGGTATTGCAGCTACGGTAGCCCACAAGCATCAGAAAAGGCAACGTGTCACCAATGTTATTCACAGTACAGTAAGGCCCAATTGTAATACTCACATTGTGTCCTACGGTCTTCTATGAAGTGTGCACTTGGAGGAAGTGTGCAGTAAGGCTTTGAGTGTGTAGTACACAAGTGTGCAAATAATTGCCGATATGGGACAGTGACTGGTAGACACATGCCAGGATGCCAGTTGCAGTTTGTGCTACTTAAAAAAAATCTTTATTACCATCTTTCAAACAAACAACTGACACAATTTACATTCATTGCTGTTCACATTAAGTCTTAGTCTAATGAATTAATATTAATCATCTTTTAAAATACATATTTTCAGAAAAGGCACTTGAGCCATTGTTCCACCCTCTTCTCAAAATTTCCACGCAGCAATGGATTGTGGGTAATACACTTGCCCAAGTCACAGAACACAGACCATTACATGTTGTATGTCCTTAAACAGCTACTGTATTTCAAGATCTCACATGGCTATTGAGCGTCGACCAGTTTATGGATATAAAAATGTAAAAATTAAAGCCAACAGGTAAACTTACAATAAATGTTGGTGAAAAATATGAATTAAACAGGATATGTTTATGAATGGGATATGCAGAATTTCATGATAAACAAGCTAAAGTATTGAACACAGGGCCTTCAAAACAGTTGAATAAGAAAAATAAATCCAATTATTTCTTTTTGTGAGGTAGATGGTTATTGGATCAGCCTTTAGCCAAAATTGACAAACTAGAACAAAAAGGTGTGTATGTGTGTGTGTGTGTGTGTGTGTGTGTGTGTGTGTGTGTGTGTGTGTGTGTGTGTGTGTGTGTGTGTGTGTGTGTTTGTGTGTGTGTGTGTTTTAATAAGTAACATTAGATCATGATCCTTTGCTCTCACCATTATCTCTGTTGTCTCTGAGAAATCTGTGCACAGCGCGCTTAAAGCTCAGAATCGTCTGGTCACTGGGAACGTCATGGCCAGCTGTAAAGATCTTCACAAACAGGAGAGACTGTGGAACGTCCTGCAGGCACACAGGCAGAAAACATGTTGCATTATTTATTAGGGCTGTCAACCCACACTTTTTGTGCATCCATCCATCCAATTAATGAATTAGATAATGTTCCTTAACTTGAAATTTTCATATTTTTAAAGCTCTCATAAGATATAGGAGCAGACACTTTTACAGTGCACCTGAAAAGTATTCATCACTTTATTCACATGTTGTTATGTTGGTCTCATTCTAGTCTTATTTTCTTTTCTCCAGAATTCTGAGCACAACACAACACACACAAATGACAATGTGATTTACTTTTTCTTTTTTTTTTTTAGCTAAAATAGAAAAAAAATGAAAATTCCAGGTATTCACAGCCTTTTCCCTGAAACTCAAACTTGAGCTCAGGTGCAACAGTTTCCACTGATAGTTCCTGAGATGTTTCTGCAGCTTAAAGTCCACCTGTGGTAAATCCAGTTGATCCAACATGATTGGGAAAGGCACACACCTGTCTAAATGAGGTCCCTCAGCTCAACCCAGGAATTGTCTGTGGACATCCGAGACATTATTGTCAAACGCACACCCTTGGGGAAGTTTACAGAAACATTTCTGCTGCTGGTAAGATCCCTGTGAGCTCAGTGGCCTCCATCATCCTTAAGACTAGGGGTGTTCAATTCCGGGTCTGGAGGGCCAGCATGTTTTAGGTTTTTTTTTTTTTCAATCACACTTGTTTTTAATCAGCAGGTAATTAACAGGCTTCTGAAGAGCCCAGTCTGATGCTTTACGGGTCAATCTACCACTGAATCAAGTGTGTTGGAGCAGAGAAACAACTAAAATGTGCTGGATAACGGCCCTCCAGGCCCGGAATTGAATACCCCTGCTTAAGACGCTTGTTAAAGCTAGCTGGCCATCTAAACTGAGCGATCAGGGGAAAAGGGCCTTAGTCAGGAAAAACCTGATGCTCCTCCGTCTGAGCTCCAGTGTTCTTCTTTGGAGAAGAACAATGATATCTGCAGCAATCCAGTCAGGCCTGCATGGTAGATTGGCAAGACAGAAGCCACTCATTTTTTAATGACAGCCTGCTTGAAGTTTACTAAAAGGCCCTTGAAGGACTATCAGATCATGAAAAGCAAAATAACATGGTCAAAGGAGACAAAAAATAAAGTTTTGTGTGTGTGTGTGTGTGTGTGTGTGTGTGTGTGTGTGTGTGTGTGTGTGTGTGTGTGTGTGTGTGTGTGTGTGTGTGTGTGTGTGTGTGTGTGTGTGTGTGTTTAGGGCTGTCGCAGTTGAGGAATTCCCCCTGCGGTGATTCAGGGTGGCTTAATATTGCGGTGTGCGATAATATTGCAGCACTTTTTTTATTGCAGTACTATCTAAACATAATGTTTACACATTTAAAAAAGGTTAAAAATTGCCATGCCTTCTTTTAGAACACTTTACTGACTCAAACTCTCTTCAGGACGGTTGCAGAAGCAGTGCTTGTCCGGGACTTCAGCAGGTCTCCGAGTGTTTATTATTATTTTTTTGCCGCTGGTGGCAGCTCTGTCTCGGCCAAGGACTCTGGCTGCGCAGCAGCTGACGTACTGAAAACCAAAGTGATCCCAAAGGAGCGAAGTAACGTTTCGTTTTGATACCAGTGCAGCCATCCTTCTCAACATGCATCATTGAGTTGAATCAAGTTCAGTAATCGCAATGGCGCATGATGCAGCGCGGTGGGTTTCTTCATATTGCGATATTTCATTTTTGCGGTTACCGTGACAGCCCTAGGCGGGACTATGCCTTGGGATTCCCCTGCGAAGCTGGCCCAGGTGGCTGAAGAAAGGCAAGTCTGGTCCTCTCTGCTTAGGCTGCTGCCTCCATGACCCGACCCCGGATTAGTGGATGAAAATGGATGGATGGTTGAAGGTGATAACCGTTATGTGTGAGGTGATTAAACTGGGCCCTTTCCAAAGGCATCCTTGTGAATGATAAGTGGGTGTTTACCTGCAGCTGGTAGTAACGTGTGGTAAAAGTAAGATCTATGATCAGTCCAAGCTCTTGGTTTGGTTTGCTCAGACGGTCTAGCAGATCCCAGGGCCCAAACACCTCAGAACACCGGAGCTTCTGGGTCAGAGCCTGAAAGGAATCAAACATGAAGAAAATCAGACAGACTCTTATGAACACTAACAGCAGATGGACATGCTGCTGACCTGTTTCAGTGGCACTTTGAAGGCAATGAAACGAGTCCCATCAAGTCTCTGTCCAACAGCTGAGTAGTCCAACCATCTGAGGGACACAAAAATAAATTCAACCCACTGATTTTTGTGTGGGATTCATACTAAAAGGAACAATACTTTTTATGACTGTTAAAAAGCTGCTTCAGCCTCATGACAGCACGACTCTAGGTCAGTGGTTCACAGAGTTGGGGTCAGGGCTCCAATGTGGGGTTGTGAGATAATAATAATACCGTAAATCCTCAAATACAGGCCCGGGCCTGTATTTGACTCAAGCTCACCAAGCTCCAGGCTATCGCGTCAGACCCGTGCCACAACCCGTGCACGCGCATTGGGTCCACAGCGCGCGTGTGAACGGGACTCGCGAGCGAAAATATACATGGCAGCGCGCGCTGTGAACGGGACTCGCGAGCGAAAATATACATGGCGAGAGGTCATTTGTGCACTGAGAGGGAGCAAACTGTGTCTGTGAGCGCACAAGGATGTGCACAAGTGACAAACCTGCGTGCGCGCGTTGTCAACGAGCACACGGCAGAGGAAAACGTGCGCGCGCGGCAGCCTCTCTGCGCGCTCGGCAGCCTCTCTGCGCGCTCGGTTTCTGACTCCTGCTCGCTCGGCTGTAAGGGCTTTTGGCACTCTGGAGGCGTGGCCTGTGGCAGATCTTCTCTGTCCTCTGAATGGTTAGTTCACCCCACACTTCACCCTCTATTTATATAAAAAAGTCTGCCATTCAGTAGTTGCTGGCATAGCTCAGCTGGGAGAGCGGGTGACTTTCGCCCCGGAGGATCCAGGTTCGAGTCCGGGCAAGGAAAATGCAGTAGATGTCATGTTAATTTGTCTTAATTTCAGGTATTTTACAGTTGTGACCGTTCAACTGTCATTAAACGTCCGAATGTTTGCTGGGCAGTGTTTTAAAAAGTGCACATAAGCTAAATGGTTTTAACCATATAAAATTACATTTTTTGTGATACTGGAAAAATACATACTGGAATAAAACTACTGGTTGAAAACTTTATGACTGTGGTTGTACAATATATGACTCACTAATACACTGCAAACTCCCTTAGAGTGGGGCTTCGAGAGAGCGAGAGAGAGAGAGAGAGAGAGAGAGAGAGAGAGAGAGAGAGAGAGAGAGAGAGAGAGAGAGAGAGAGAGAGAGAGGAGAGAGAGAGAGAGAGAGAGAGAGAGAGAGAGAGAGAGAGAGAGAGAGAGAGAGAGAGAGAGAGAGAAGAGAGACGAGAGAGAGAGAGAGAGAGAGAGAGAGAGAGAGAGAGAGAGAGAGAGAGAGAGAGAGAGAGAGAGAGAGAGAGAGAGAGAGGAGAAGAGAGAGAGAGAGAGAGAGAGAGAGAGAGAGAGAGAGAGAGAGAGAGAGAGAGAGAGAGAGAGAGAGAGAGAGGAGAGAGAGAGAGAGAGAGAGAGAGAGAAAAGTTCTTGCCTCATTAATGTATTGTTTATTTTTTTTCAGTATTTAATTGACAAATTATTCCTTTCAAATAATTAATTGATGAGTTACATAACTGTCCATTTAGAATTGTTGAATGGACTGAGTAAAGTTTGGTGCACTTTATATATTTCAAAACATGTTTTTTTTATGATGCATATAAATAATTTAAATGTTAATTTAATGAAATATTTCTATTTTTCATTACCTCACCCTTGTTTTGACAAAAAACGGGACCTTGCTGGATAATATCATGGAGAAACTATTTGTTCACAGTACATGGCTCAGTGAGGATCTGTGTAAAGGAGGAGATACTCAGAAATCTGTCTGCAGATTGTTACAACCCAGACTGGAAGTGGTGGGCTGTAATAAGAAAGGAGACCAAACAGAGGAGTGGGGGTTCAACAACTGATTTATTTAACAAAAGTAAGGATTTACTAAAGCAAGTTAGTGAACAGAAAATGGCCAGTGAGGACTCTCCACCACACAGGAGAGACCCAGTGAAAGCAGAAAAAACGGTAGGCTTTGTAGGCAGCACCACACCCTGAGCCCAGGTGCCTCCAAGGCTGCTTAACGAGCTGCCTACAACAGAAGAAAAACACAATTAAACACAAATGAAAACCCAATGAGACGGTGGGGGCATCAGCAACACGTTCAGGACTACCCAAACACCAGTAATTCTTGACTGCACTGATCTGCTTTAGTAAATCCTTACTTTGGTTAAATAAATCAGTTGTTGAACCCCCACTCCTCTGTTTGGTCTCCTTTCTTATTACAGCCCACCATAGGCGTCATTTAACCGGGGACGCCGGGGACATGTCCCCGGCAAAATTTGTGATTGGCTGCTGTGTCCCCCCCCCACTTTCAAAAAAGCCTGCTGATGAGGATTTTTGTTTTACCAGCTCAGATCTTATACCAGGGGTCGGCAACCTGTTCCCATCAAAGAGCCATTATTACCCGTTTCCCACAGCAAAGAAAACACCGCAGCAGCCGCGGCGTTGTGGGCGGGGCCTACCCTCAGACAGCAGAGTGCTGCTCACAACAGGTGACAGCAGCCGGGGGCATCGCACCCGTGGGGGATTCAACACCCACACTTCTCCAGCTGTTTTGCTCACCTCCACACCAGTCTGGTTTCTTTATGTCGCACTCTCTCTGTTTGCCTCATCTCCTTCTTCACCTCCCTCTTCTGACAGCCGATGTCGGTTTCCAGGAGAGCAGGAGAGGGAGGGACAGAAGAGCTCGACTGAATTCATAATTTTACATCTTGATATTAGCTGTACAAAGTATGAGTTTGATAAAGTGAAGAACAACAATTTGCAGAGGTTTATAACTGGCGCAGCGCCAGGTTTTTATTTTTGGGTGGGCCACGGTAATTCTGGACGGACCTTAATAAGCAGTGACTTAAGTGAAGCAGGCAGGTCGCGCTAGAAAATTTCGTTTAAAAAGACGTCATAAATGTGTTCCCCCGTCCTTTTTATTTCTAAAATATGAAGTAAAAACTCCCAATTTAATTTTCATTCATTTGTCATGTAGTCCACACCCGTGCGTTAAGTGGACCATCTTTCAGTAAAAGCAAAGCATCCCCACCTCTCCAAATGCGTAAAATGTGCATCAGCCGCTAGTTAGGCGAGCCGCGCGCACCGTCAGCTACGTCAGCCCAGACAAGAGCAGAGCAACTAGAGACAGAATAGAGGATAATTGTGTCTGGATGTGGATGGAGATTACATTTTACAGCAGCCTGATCATCATTTAAATACATAAACCATCACCTGTCTTCTAGTCCACGCTATCAGCATTATTTTAATTGGTGTGTGTGTGTGTGTGTGTGTGTGTTTTCCACATCAAACACTGGTCTAACCAACCAGACCAGCGTGTCCAGTAACACATTAATGTTACAATTAAACCTGATTAACCCCAGAGCCATGTACACTGCACTGTACTGACTGTAAATGAGGGGAAATGATTTAATCGGATCCTTTTCTCTTCAACATGGTTTAATGTAAAGTTTCATTCAGTACAAACTTTAGTTACACCAATCTAACGAGACAGAGCCTGGATTTGTATTCTGAACAGTTTAAACATGTTTGAAACAGAGACATGCGTGACGCGTCTAAAATTCGCACCTGCTCTGCTATTACAGAAATTAAACTAACAAGATGAATAACATGAACTTATTTTAGGCACAGACAACATCCCCCACACTTTTGAAAAGCTTGCAACGCGCCTGATCGCTCGTGTACATCTTAATTATCTTTCATTAGACGATAATCAATAAAATGATTTATATAAAGTGGATCCAGAAGTTGTAACCCGTCTCTGCCTTCAATTTTTGGTATTTTTCACCCTGTTAGTGGTTTTACTGAGCAGGTGCCACTTTTGTCATACGTTTCTTTTTAAAACATGTTTAGACTGTTCAGAATACAAATCCAGGCTCTGTCACGTTTAATTGTTGTAATTAAACTTTGTAGGTGGGGAAGGTCAGAAAGCAGCTCAGAAGCGCCTATGATTACGCACAAGCGTGAGGCGTCAACCCGGTCTCACAGTAAGACCGGGTTGGACCTGTTCAGGTTTACGCAGACAATCTTTACATTTAGAATTGGCATACAGATGTAAAATTAATGCAGTAAAATATAAAGCATTTTATTTAAATATCCATTCATTATTTTACAAGCAAGAGCCGCATGCGGCTCCAGAGCCGTGGATTGCCGACCCCTGTGCTAGCCTACTTTATTGTCCCCAGCAATTTTTAAACCCCACTCAAGTGTATGGTTATTGTCCCCAGCAATTCTGAAAACAAACTGACGCCCTTGCAGCCCACCAATTCCAGTCTGGGTTGTAACAATCTGCAGACAGATTTCTGAGCATCTCCTCCTTTGGTATACAGATCCTCACTGAGCCAAGTACTGTGAACAAATAGTTTCTCCGTGATATTATCCAGCAAGGTCTTGTTTTTGTCAAAACAAGGGTGAGGTAATGAAAAAATAGAAATATTTCAATAAATTAACATTAAAATTATTTATATGCATAATAAAAAAAAACATGTTTTGAAATATATAAAGTGCACCAAACTTGACTCAGTCCATTCAACAATTCTAAATGGACAATTATGTAACTCATCAATTAATTATTTGAAAGGATAATTTGTCAATTAAATGCTGAAAAAAATAAACAATACATTAATGAGGCAAGAACTTTTTAAACTTGAACATACCTACACCCACAAGTCTATTTTTACCTGGTTAAAACCATCTAGCTTATGTGCACTTTTTAAAACACTGCCCAGCAAACATTCGGACATTTAATGACAGTTGAACGGTCACAACTGTAAAATAATATCACAGGAATTAGGAAAGAATAATATGACATCAACTCTATGTTACCTGGCCAGACTCGAACCTGGATCCTCTAGAGTGAGAGTCACCCGCTCTCCCAGCTGAGCTATGCCAGCAACCGTTAAATTCAAGATTTTTTTATATACATAGCTAGAGAGTAAAGTGCGGGGTAAACTAACCAATCAGAGGATAGGGAAGATCTGCACAGGCCACGCCTCCAGAGTGCCAAAACTCCTCACAGCCGAGCGCGCAGAGAGGCTGCCGAGCGCGCAGAGAGGC